ATATATAGAGAGAGAGAGAGAGAGAGAGAGAGAGAGAGAGATTATCTTAATCTATATGGATCAAATCCCATTTTTCTTTCACCAATCTTTAATTATTTCTTGAGAAATGTTGTTCTGAAGATATGCAAGTTGACTTTATACTTGCATACATCTGGAGAGATGCCAGATTAAATGGACATGAATGTGCAAGATGCATCCACCATACTTAATTTAGGATGCTGATGGGGCAAATCCCTATTAGTTAGTGTATCACTGTCAGTCTACAGTACTGTCCAATTCCTTTTCTTTATGTCCAAATCTTGATTGATGCCATGCATCAACCAAGCAAAGATGAGGTCTTCATCCTTTTTGACTTATGAAGAACAGTGGAGCTACATGTCAACCTATTGGAGATTAGACCACCTTTGAGAAAACTATCTTAAATGAGCCACCAAGTAAACAGTAGAAGTTCCTGATGACACAGACATCCACTCTATTCCTTAATGTATGTAAGACAGAGAAACCTATATTAATGTTCACTGTTCTTGGTGAAGTATAAGACAGTTTACACAGAAATTGCATCCATGAACTCAGATGACTTAAGAGCCAAGTCATGGAACATGATTGGTTGTCCATCAATTCAAAGGTTGTAAAAAGTTGTTTCTCATTGAATAATTGGCATAAAAATGATCAAAATTAGTCTTCCCCTTTCAATCTGAAAATTGATAAAAAGTTGCAATTGAAAAAGAACATTGGTCAAAGAGCCTTCTCAATATAATTTTGCAACTTATGGAGTAAGAGACAATAATATCATTAGTGACATATAATGATTCAAATTTTCTTGGTAATCCTTCTAATTGAACAAAAGTAAACCATTAATTGTCATGTCAAAGCCTTAAATATGTGACTTTTAATATGAGTATTACATATGATATCTCAAATTAGTTCTACATCAGGTATGGATTTTTCCTTGAAATAGCTCATAAATCATTATCTATGTTCAAAATGTAGACCACATCCATTTCACATGTTAGCTAAATGGGACATTTTACAGTAATAAATTATTATTATTTTATGTTGAATGCTAAAAATGAGATGTCAATTTAAACTCGTCCAAATTCTATACATCATTTTTCCCCAAGAAAAAAATCTGAATTTTCCATCAGTGGTATGTCAACAAGAAAAAGAACAATCAAAAGGAAGGCAATAAATAATATGAGTGCAAAAAATTGTTGGGTTTGGAGTCTATACATTGGTTTTAGCACATCACTTGTTTATTATTAGCACACAAAGCTGCCATTGCTCGAGCATCATTCCTCTATAGGAAACTGAGAATGGATTCGAGCTCATTCATGTCCAAAGATGATGAAGATCTTGGAAAATGCCACCTGATGTCTTAGAGATCCATCTTATCAGAGGCCTTTTGTTTGCAGACTACTCCTCTGCAGCACTCCATCAGGAATAGAATTTGTCCTCCTCCCCCAGCCTGCCTTTTGATCCTTTTCCAGCATATTCCTGCACAGACATGGAGCTTTCTCCCTCCATCAACCAATCAAGTGTTGGCCGGTCATAAAGAAGGGAGTATATGGCAGACACCGTAACGTGGCTTCACCCCAAGCGAGTCCTCTCTCTCCCTTTCGCTGCTGCTGACCTCCACGCGTATGCCTGCATCTGTGACAAAGGAAACAGGCAATGCTGGGTTCATCCCCCATGGCGTTTTCCTCAAGGAGAAAGGAGGAAGAATTAGTGCAGCGGAACGAGCATATGATGCAACGAACGTAATGGAGGTTCGTCTTGGAGATAAGATTCCCGAGGCCATGGCGATGTCGGGGGGGGGGGTCATTGGATTGTATGTAAAAGGCAGCAAAGGTGGAATAGCATACGCCTGTGTATATTTTAATTGGGAGTGGGCGATGGGTTGAGCGGCTATCCGCTATTCGTTTCAGACGAGGCAAAACCAGAAGCCGTTCCACTTCTCCTGCTATATAAACACTTGCATCTCCACAAAAGGAAACACGAAGCCGTCCACTGGACAGCGAGATGAATGCATGCATGGCCTGAAGGGTCGCAGAGGTGAGTGAGCTCATCGGAGGTTGACAGAAGAGAGTGAGCACCCATGGTGTTTTCTTGCATGGAAAGGGAGAGACAGAGTCCATGCTCCAAAGCTATGCGTGCTCGCTCCTCTATCTGTCAGCCACCACCGGTCGATGCCGTCTTCCGGTTGTACTTTCCTTGCTACTAACCCTACACCTTGATTCATTATTTGACTTGCAATGAAGAACAGATGGCCGAAGATCACTGGAACTGTTCTTTTCTTACTGCAACATTTTGAGCAGTACTACGATGGGCTTTATGATTCTTAGAAGTTGATCGGTTCTGTCTCAAATCAAGCTTGGTTGGGATCAGGATTTTTATGATCAACCCACTCAGATTCTATGCGATCTATTGTCTCGAACTTATCTTTGACATCAAAGACCGCTGTTTTCATCTTCAAGCCTAACTAAGCCCTGTTGAGTTTTGTGTATGTCTAAGAAAACTAGCAATAGAAGAAACCACCTGGCGACCTTTTGATGACAAAATAGTCGTCTTGGTAGCTAAATCTTTCCATCTTTTTTTTTTCCATCATATTTGTTGGGGTTGAAAATTTGAAGCCTATTTCTTGGTCAAACTGGACAGTCTCCGTAGCGGTTGACTTTTGAGATTCCAAGTCAAATCCTGTTGACAATAAATAAAACCACAAGGACAACACACAAAACCTGTGTGCTACGGGACAGGACACAGATTTTTGGATTAGGTCTGGGCTTGAGAGAAGAAAAGGAAGAAGAAGAAGAAAAAGTGGTATATCCATCCAATTCCCCCATTTCCTCTATCGTTTTCATCCTGTTGGAAGCCAAGCATCTGAAAACGGGCAGCAGATGGTGGAAGGCGATTCAAAGGTGACGCCTTTCTTCTCTCTCCATTTATAGAAGAGAAAATTCCGACGAGTTCTTATCGAGCTTCTCAGTTCGTGGTCGGGTGCTTGCCAGTGGATGCAACAGCGCAGGCGGCGGGTTCTTCTTCTTCTTCTTCTTCTTCTTCTTCTTTGCGTGAGGAGTCGGCTGATTGCGTTGGTCGATAGGGCGGCGGGAGACAGATGGAGTTGCTGGTAAGGAGGAGAACTCTTGCTCTCTCTCTTTCTCTCTCTCTGCTTCTCGTCCTCGTTCTTCTGCAGGTTCATCGTCTACCGATTCCCCGCCTCATCAAAACCTGATCTTTCTTGCTTCGAATGTAAAATATGCGACAACTCTTTGTGATCGAGGATCAAAATTTTGTAGAAGAAGTTGAAATCGGAAGGAACGCATGCGAATGAGACAATGGTTTCCCCTTATCAAAGAATAAGAATGCTACAGAACAACGAGCAGTCGGACGCGTAAGAACGGAGATGAAGAAGAGGAAAACAGAGGAATCGAAGATTGAAGGCCGGAAGCGAGATCGCGCAGATTGAGGTTGTCTTGCGGCTTGTTGATGCTCATTCGTCGCTCACCGATGCCGTTCCCCTTCCTCCTCTTCGGGATCGAGATCGACATCGAGATGCACGGAGCAAAGAACCTAAACAGCGTTAACGCTATACCACAAAGGGGAGGGTCGAGGGAAAGAAGACTCAGATGGGAGATATTTATAGCATATAACGTTTGAAATTAACGGTATACGTCTCGACAGCGTATAACGTGCATGCCGAAAGTTTTATTTGCTGTAACATATATCAGTGCGTCACAAGCACGTGCTGTTCACGTTAAAATGCACGTACATGGAGTTCATTCAATTCGATGCTCTTTTGATATCATAATAAAATAATATATATTACTAAAAAGATGATTTTAAGTTTGATTAGCTATATGTCTTCTTTAAAAAATCTATTTTCTTTTTTTAAAATAAAAAATAAAAATATTATTACATCAAATTACGTATATGACGTTCACACTTAGATTTGAACATAAAATCTATCGCACACTGTGTAAGATAGTCACTGAATGATCCGTTTGCCGAAGGATGACTTCCTTTACGCATACTACCGTCTCAATCAGGTGTTAAAGTTCAGCAAATTGTCCTTGATATCTTCTGCTACCGGGTGGATCAACTTGGAGTTGATACCTACATGGACGGTGGCTGTTCAACTGCAATCTGCAAGGGTCATCCATCGTCTCTTAGCTCATGTCGATCGTTCTTGAGTTCCACGCGACGTGGCACGTCGCCGCTGTCCGAGCGCAAGCTTAATCTGTTAGTCCTTGCACTTGTGGAGATCTCCAGTAGCTTCTCTTCTGCGACAGTGATGCATGGCGCTGATCCTTTGTGTGGCTTCGACGCCTCCATATTTTCTATGGAACAGTGAGGATGCATCCAACACTGTCATCTTTGCGACGCCGAAATCTGTGTTCTCTTATGATGTCCGAGAACGATGTGGCGAGTCCCTAATGCCGGATGAGACACAATTCTTATCCTCTCTAAACCTTCGTGTTGTTGCTAGTGCCAAGCAAGTCAAATCTGCTTGTTGCGGTCGTACTTCATCTCTCTCTCTCTCT